GGGTGGTTGCTATGGTGTTGCTAGGCGGTTGCTACGGTGTTTTGGGTGGTTGCTATGGTATTCTGGATGGTTGCTATGGTGTTACTAGGTGGTTGGTAGTGTTCACATTTGGTTACTATAGAGTTTTTATAATGTTCATGGCATGATTTAGCACTTAGCTAATCAATATTAGCATGTAGCTATTCACAGCTAGCATGTTTAGCTTTGTTGAAAGTCCTGTGTGCTAGCATGAGTCAAAAGACCCAAACCCCATCTCTATACGATGTTCTGATGCAGAGATGTAGGTCTTGCAAAATGGTTGCTAGGGTACTCTGTTTGGTTGCTAGGGAGTGGCTTGGCAGCTGCCAATAATGAAACTCCAAAGGCTGCTTGTCAGTATGAATTATATAAACCAACCCCCATCTCTATACGATGTTCTGATATAGAGATGTAGGTCTTGCAAAATGGTTGCTAGGGTACTCTGTTTGGTTGCTAGGGAGTGGCTTGGCAGCTGCCAATCATGAAACTCCAAAGGCTGCTTGTCAGTATAAATGATATAAACCAACTCCCATGCCTCTGTGACATTCAGAATGGAAGATATGCCTGTTTGGATTTTGGTTGCTAAGGTGCTCGACAATGGTTGCTAGGGCGTGGCCAGTAAGTGTTGAGGTGATTCAGGATTGGCTGTTTGCTGCCCCGAGTCAAACGAGCCCACCCTCATGTTTCTATGACTCTTATATTCTGAGATATCCCTTTGATCTGTTTCAATGGAAGTCTATGGAACTTGTTGCTAAGGAGCTCTAAATGGTTGCTAGGGCGTGGCTAGGTAGCTTCACAATGATCCTGAGAGACTGATTGGCCGTCTGAGTAAAATGAGCCCGCCCCTTTGTCTCTACGACACTGTGATCCAGAGTTATGTTCAATATAAAAGCGGTTTCTATGGTGTAGGACGGCCCATTTCATGGGCCGTCCTACACCATAGTAAGTCAATGGGGCAACTTTGGGCCCCTCCTGCCCCTCAGGGGTGCAACTTTTACCCCATTTTGTGGTATGTTCTTACAGAGCCTGTCAGCCTCTTCAAATGTGGCAAATTTCACGTTTCTGCGACATCCTCGTTCCGAGCTACGACTCGTCAAAGTTTTTCGCAATGTTAAGTCTATGGGATTTTTTTGGGCCGTTTTTCGCCCCTGGGGCGACCATCGTACCCCCGATCTCTTAGAAAAGTCATAGCACACCATTCCCGAACAGGCCGCACGTTTTGACACCTCATTCATGGGTCTGTGACAAAAACTGCGGGAGGAGTAGCGCGTCAAAAAGTGGCCAGAAGAATAATAATAATAAGAAGAAGAAGAAGAATAATAAGTATGTGAGATAACAATAGTGTTGCTTTGCCATAGGCAAGCACCACTAACTAGAATGTACATTTCCAGAAGAAAATGTGAAGTGGTGCTTGCAGTGGCAAAACTCGCCGCTCGGTTGCTAGAGTGTGGTACATTAATGCATACGAGCCAACAACCATGTCTGTACGATGTTCTGGTGCTGAGATATGGCTTATTCATGTGTTTGTATGGTTACTAGGGTACCTTATATGGTTGCTATGGTGTGCTTATAAAGTTTATGAGATGATATTTAAAGACTAGTTGACAGTCTGAGTCAAAAAAGGCAAACTCCATGTTTCTACTAATTTCTGGAGCTGAGATATGGCTTAAATATGTTGTTTTATGGTTGCTAGGCTGCCCTAAGTGGTTGCTAGGGCGGGAATATGAAGTTGTTATGTCACTACTTATTGGCTGCTTGATAGGCCGAGTCAAAAGAGCCCAATCCCAAGTCTCTATGACCTTCTGGTCAAAAGATATGATCTCACAAATTTTGTGCCAATGTTAAGTCTATGGGACTTTTTTCGGAAATTTTTTCGCCCGCCAAACGAACATCGTACAACCGATCGCTTAGAAAAGACATAGCACACCTCTCCTCAATGAACCGGTCGATTTGACACCTCATTCATGGGTCTACGAGAAAACATGCAGGAGGAGTAGCGTGCCGAAGTTTTGTCTAGGTGAATAGTAATCACAACACTAGAATGTACATTTCCAGAAGAAAATGTGAAGTGGTGCTTGCAGTGGCAAAACTCGCCGCTCGGTTGCTAGGGTGTGTATAGCTAGTTTTTAGTAAGATGCTAACAAAATAAGCATAATGATAGCATGATTAGCATGTTGCTAGCATCATGCTACCGTGTCTTTAGCATGATGCTAACATGATTAGCAGGTTAATAGCATGTTTGTAGCTAGATGCTAGCATGATTAGCATGTTGCTAGCATCATGCTAGCATGATTAGCATGTTGCTAGCATCATGCTAGCATGATTAGCATGTTGCTAGCATCATGCTAGCATGATTAGCATGTTGCTAGCATAATGCTAGCGTGATTAGCATGTTTCTAGCATCATGCTAGCATGATTAGCATGTTGCTAGCATAATGCTAGCGTGATTAGCATGTTTCTAGCATCATGCTAGCATGATTAGCATGTTGCTAGCATCATGCTAGCATGATTAGCATGTTGCTAGCATCATGCTAGCATGATTAGCATGTTTGCTAGCATGTTTGTAGCTAGATGCTAGCATGATTAGCATGTTGCTAGCATCATGCTAGCATGATTAGCATGTTGCTAGCATCATGCTAGCATGATTAGCATGTTTGCTAGCATCATGCTAGCATGATTAGCATGTTTCTAGCATCATGCTAGCATGATTAGCATGTTGCTAGCATCATGCTAGCATGATTAGCATGTTTTTAGCATCATGCTAGCATGATTAGCATGTTTCTAGCATCATGCTAGCATGATTAGCATGTTGCTAGCATCATGCTAGCATGATTAGCATGTTGCTAGCATCATGCTAGCATGATTAGCATGTTGCTAGCATCATGCTAGCATGATTAGCATGTTGCTAGCATCATGCTAGCATGATTAGCATGTTTGCTAACATGTTTGTAGCTAGATGCTAGCATGATTAGCATGTTGCTAGCATCATGCTAGCATGATTAGCATGTTGCTAGCATCATGCTAGCATGATTAGCATGTTTCTAGCATCATGCTAGCATGATTAGCATGTTGCTAGCATCATGCTAGCATGATTAGCATGTTGCGAGCATCATGCTAGCATGATTAGCATGTTTGCTAGCATGTTTGTAGCCAGATACTAGCAAGATTAGCATGTTGCTAGCATCATTTAGCACTTAACTAATCGATATTAGCATGTAGCTATTCACAGCTAGCATGTTTAGCATGTTGAAAGTCCTGTGTGTTAACATGAGTCAAAAGACCCAACCCCCATCGCGATACAATGTTCTGATGCTGAGATATAGCTGTTACAAAATGGTTGCTAGGGTACTCTGTTTGGTTGCTAGGGAGTGGCTTGGCAGCTGCCAATCATGAAACTCCAAAGGCTGCTTGTCAGTATGAATGATATAAACCAACCCCCATCGCGATACAATGTTCTGATGCTGAGATATAGCTGTTACAAAATGGTTGCTAGGGTACTATGTTTGGTTGCTAGGGAGTGGCTTGGCAGCTGCCAATCATGAAACTCCAAAGGCTGCTTGTCAGTATGAATGATATAAACCAACTCCCATGCCTCTGTGACATTCAGAATGGAAGATATCCCTCTTTGGATTTTGGTTGCTAAGGTGCTCGACAATGGTTGCTAGGGCGTGGCTAGGAAGTGTTGAGGTCATTCATGATTGGCTGTTTGCTACCCCGAGTCAAACGAGACCACCCTCGTGTTTCTATGACACTTCTATCCGGAGATATCCCTTCCATCTCTTTCAATGGAAGTCTATGGAACTTGTTGCTAAGGTGCTCTAAATGGTTGCTAGGGCGTGGCTTAAAAGCTTAACAATGATCCTGAGAGACTGATTGGTCGTCTGAGTAAAATGAGCCCGCCCCTTTGTCTCTACGACACTGGGATCCAGAGTTATGTTCAATATAAAAGCGGTTTCTATGGTGTAGGACGGCCCATTTCATGGGCCGTCCTACACCATAGTAAGTCAATGGGGCAACTTTGGGCCCCTCCTGCCCCCCAGGGGTGCAACTTTTACCCCATTGTGTGGTATATTCTTACAGAGCCTGTCAGCCTCTTCAAATGTGGTAAATTTCACGTTTCTGCGACATCCTCGTTCCGACCTACGACTCGTCAAAGTTTGACGCAATGTTAAGTCTATGGGATTTTTCGGCCGGTTTTTCGCCCCTGGGGCGAACATCGTACCCCCGATCGCTTATAAAAGTCATAGCACACCATTCCCGAACAGGCCGCACGTTTTGACACCTCATTCATGGGTCTGTGACAAAAACTGCGGGAGGAGTAGCGCGTCAAAAAGTGGCCAGAAGAATAAGAATAAGAATAAGAATAAGAATAAGAATAAGAAGAATAAGAATAATAAGTATGTGAGATAACAATAGTGTTGCTTCGCCATAGGCAAGCACCACTAATAAGAAGAAGAAGAATAATAAGTATGTGAGATAACAATAGTGTTGCTTCGCCATAGGCAAGCACCACTAATTAATATATTAATCAGAAAAAAGGTTTTGCCCTATAAGTAAACAACTAACATTCTACCATCCATCAAACAATTAGATTTCTATTCTCTCCACTTTACTTTAAAGCATACTGACCTTTAGCATTTTACTATCTTTTAATAGTGTTGTTACTTTTCTTGTATATATTTTATAAATCAATTAGAATTTGTTACAACTGTGTCTTCCTTGTGTTGACAATGCAGTAACAGGCTCTACAAATTGGATCATTTATATTGTCAAGGCGACTCCATGACTGATGCCCCAAGGTAAAAGCAGGGACATATTACTTGACCCACACACAGACACACACAAGAGTACGTGGGACCAAAACTCGCATTACCTCTATTGTCTGTTGTATGATATAATACACAACTGATGACTGTGTGAAGATCAGTTACATCTATGTTAATCACATTTATATTGCAGTGTGCAAAAAATTGTGTACTAACCTTGACCTTTGCTTTTTTATGCTTCCAGATGTCACTCATTTCGTATGAATCAATGCACACAGCCTTGTTCGTTGAATCCTTGTTGTATTTCTTGACCAAAATGTGCATATAAGCATTCATGACCTGACAGGAATGAATGAAGGCATATTAGATTCCCATAAGAAAAAATATTCACAGAGTTCATCCGTTTAATAATGTCTAATGTTTACTTTAGATGGACAATTTCATTTTGAACTTTGGAGTTTTTCTTTTATTTATTTCGTTTTTCTTTTGGAGACATTATTTTTTTACATTATTTTTGTTGAAACAGTTTGAAATGAAGTGGCTTCATTCACAAACTGTTGGATTTCATTAACACACTTATGAGATGTGTTCTCAAGGTATACAAATCTGTACACTGAGGAAACCAATAAGAAAACCCAAACCATTTCAGAAAATAAAAAATGTATTTACTTATTTTGCCAACATAACATGTTGGACAAACACATTATTATACTGACTAGATAAAAAAAAAAAAACCTCAAGAGACAAGAGGCCAATTTAAAATAAATACTAAACAACATTATTATTATAACTGTCTAAATTGTTGTTTAAGTGCATACGTGATTCTATATCTGACAAAATCACAACTCCTGGGGATGCTGTGGCATGGACTGGTGGTGGAGATGCCCGTGAGGAGGGGCCTGAAGAGACCACGTGGATTGGTGGTGGAGACTGTGGTGATGGCACTGGTGGTGGAGATGCCCGTGAGGAGGGGCCTGAAGAGACCACGTGGATTGGTGGTGGAGACTGTGGTGATGGCACTGGTGGTGGTGATGCCGGTGAGGAGGGGCCTGAAGAGACCACGTGGATTGGTGGTGGAGACTGTGGCGATGGCACTGGTGGTGGCAATGCCGGTGAGGAGGGGCCTAAAGAGACCACGTGGACTGGTGTTGGAGAATGTGGCGATGGCACTGGTGGTGGCGATGCCGGTGAGGAGGGGCCTGAAGAGACCACGTGGACTGGTGTTGGAGACTGTGGCGATGGCACTGGTGGTGGCGATGCCGGTGAGGAGGGGCCTGAAGAGACCACGTGGACTGGTGTTGGAGACTGTGGCGATGGCACTGGTGGTGGCGATGCCGGTGAGGAGGGGCCTGAAGAGACCACGTGGACTGGTGTTGGAGACTGTGGTGATGGCACTGGTGGTGGTGATGCCGGTGAGGAGGGGCCTAAAGAGACCACGTGGACTGGTGTTGGAGACTGTGGCGATGGCACTGGTGGTGGCGATGCCGGTGAGGAGGGGCCTGAAGAGACCACGTGGACTGGTGTTGGAGACTGTGGTGATGGCACTGGTGGTGGTGATGCCGGTGAGGAGGGGCCTAAAGAGACCACGTGGACTGGTGTTGGAGACTGTGGCGATGGCACTGGTGGTGGCGATGCCGGTGAGGAGGGGCCTGAAGAGACCACGTGGACTGGTGTTGGAGACTGTGGTGATGGCACTGGTGGTGGTGATGCCGGTGAGGAGGGGCCTGAAGAGACCACGTGGATTGGTGGTGGAGACTGTGGTGATGGCACTGGTGGTGGAGACTGTGGTGATGGCACTGGTGGTGGAGATTGTGGTGAAGGCACTGGTGGTGGTGATGCCTGTGATGGCACTGGTGGTGGAGATTGTGGTGAAGGCACTGGTGGTGGAGACTGTGGTGATGGCACTGGTGGTGGAGATTGTGGTGAAGGCACTGGTGGTGGTGATGCCGGTGATGGCACTGGTGGTGGAGATTGTGGTGAAGGCACTGGTGGTGGTGATGCCGGTGATGGCACTGGTGGTGGAGATGCCGGTGATGGCACTGGTGGTGGAGATGCCGGGGATGGCACTGGTGGAGGAGATGCCGGTGATGGCACTGGTAGTGGTGATGCCGGTGATGGCACTGGTGGTGGAGGAGATGGGGGTGTTGGCACTGCTGGTGGAGATGCTGGTGAGCAGGGGGATGCAAAGACCACAGGAACTGAAACTGATGGTGATGAAGACTTTATTTTATGTGGGATGCGGGGTTGCTCCTCAACATGTAGCCTCAAATGATCTACATTTATTCTTGGGAATTTCACCCCCCCCCACCCCCCCCCCCCCCCTCACCTTCCAGGTCTGCACTTTTCCCTTCCAATAAAGTGATAGTATAGGGGCCAAGAAAGTTTGCCTCCAGTTTGCCACCCTTCCTTTGTTGGCTCCTTCTGTTTTGCCTCCACACTCTGTCCCCCACTTTAAAGTTGTTCAGGGCTTTCTTTTTTGTTTGGCGCCTAACCCTCTCTTGTGACGCTCTAGTATTGATATGAGCCTCGGTTAAAGCCTCGCTCATGGCAATAGCCGATTCCGTCAATTCTTCAACCGACATTGTGTCCTCCACACTCTTGTCAATCTGACAAAAAGTGCAGGACAATACTGTTAAAACAGTGCTACCTATTTATAATTAATGATATTTATTTGAAAATTATAACAATCTGCAGTTACCTGATAGTGCTCAGGGATTTCGGAACGGTAACGGGCCTCTCTTCCAAACATTAAAAAGTACGGTGAGTACTTAATTGTCACCTGCCGCTTTGTCCGAAGCCCAAACATTACGGCATCTAGGTGTTTGTCCCATTCATTGGGCTTGTCTTTTACAAGCTTGCAAAGGGATCTGGTAATATAATAACATTATTTTCAGGTTCAAAGCAGTCAGGAAGGAGCATTTACAATCATGCATCTGGCACACATCTTTATCGCATTTAAATAATAGTGTATTCAGTGTGTACATAGTCATTACGTGCATTTTATAGGAACTGAACCAAGGAATTTAGCATTTCTATCATCATGCTCTAATTAAATACATAAATGGCTAGTTCTTTGCAAATTTTTTGTCAGTGTGAAGAGAATTAGAATAAAATTATTGTTACCTCTGTATTGTCGCATTCATCCTTTCTACAAGGCCGTTCGTCTGTGGGTGGTAGGGTGCGCACAAGGACCTTTTAATATTTAGCACTTTGCAGATATTACTGTTCAGCTGCAATTTATAAAAGAAAACCGACTCTTAAAGGAGTAGTTCACTTTAAAAAAAAACTTTTGCTGATAATTTACTCACCCCCATGTCATCCAAGATGTCCATGTCTTTCTTTCTTTCAGTCGAAAAGAAATTAAGATTTTTGATGAAAACATTCCAGGATTTTTCTCCATATAATGCACTTTACTGGGCACCAAACGGTTCAAGGTCCAAAAGACACTTAATAAGACCCTTATTCATCATCTGGAATCGTTTAAAGCCATTTGAACAGTTTGCAGTTTGCACTGAAAGTGTCTTTTGGACCTTGAACCGTTTGGTGCCCAGTAAAGTGCATTATATGGAGAAAAATCCTGGAATGTTTTCATCAAAAATCTTAATTTCTTTTCGACTGAAAGAAAGAAAGACATGGACATCTTGGATGACATGGGGGTGAGTAAATTATCAGCAAAAGTTTTTTAAAAAGGGAACTACTCCTTTAAATTTCTCAGGGAAAAGATACAAGGTGTGTATATTGAATAAAAAAAATTGACATTTAATATTTTTTTCTGTTTTATGTTTATGTATGTTTTGTAAGTGAACATGTATGACTCACTGTGTTTACAAACTCTTTCCCCTGGTCTGTGAGGACTCTCTTAGGTGCCTCAAACTGATGCACAAATTTTAAAAGGCAATTAGCAACCTCCCTGGCAGCCTTTGACTTGAGGGGATAAGCCTGGGGCCACTTGGTCATGTAGTCAATGATGACACAAATATATTGGTTCCCGTTATCTGTGGGTGCTAATTTGCCAATGAGATCCATCCCCACAAGTTCGAAAGGCTGTTTAACCTAGAGGTCATTAAATATTAACAAATTAATTAGTTATATAACTTAATTGTTATTTCTAATTTAATTCTAAACAATACTAATACTGTAAATGAATGTGTGATGGAAAGGAATGCCACAATTGGAGTAATTTCATTTTGCTCCTTCAAAACTGATGACCTGCTGGCCTGACATGGTACACACTGTGCCACCTGTGATCAAAACAGTATATTGTTTGATATCATTAGCATTTTGTAATATTGCAAAAGTATTAATTCTGTACATGTTATTACCCAGGTGTCAATGTCCTGTGACATGCCCGGCCAGTAAAATCTTATGGATATTGCGTCTCGTGTTTTTTTTTTGTCCTGTGTGAGCTCCGATGCTGCTTGCATGAAACTCCTCAAAAATTTTGTTTGCCTCTTCAGCCCCACACACAACTTTTAGTTGTTTTTTGCCTTTGTTCCGAAGGTAATACAATTCACCACCTTTGAAAAGAAAAAATAGACAAAATAGTTAGGGATGTGGGGTAAAATGAAATGAATGTTTTTTCTCTAAAACACGTTGGGATTAAATCTTTTTTATTAAATGAATCCCTTTTATTAAATCTTTGTTTAACCTCCTTTTCCAAAGATAACAGCTCTGAGTCTTCTCCTATAATGCCTGATGAGTTTGGAGAACATCTGACCAGAGATCAGATACTCATTACTCCGTACAGAATCTCTCCAGATTCCTCCAATTCCAAGATCCATGTTTGTACTTATTCTCTTCAGTTCAACACTCATTTTCTGTGTTCAGGTCAGGGACTGAGATGGCCATCGCAGATGCTTTGTTTTGTGCTCAGTAAAGTTTTTTTTTTTTTTTTTGGATGTTTGTTTTTGGATCACTATCCAGTTGGAAGATCCAAACATGGCCCGTTATAAGATTTCTAGCACAGGTTGTCAGGTTTTGATTTTTTATATGTTGGTATTTGATCGAATCCATTAAAGTGTTCTTGAACAAAATGTCCAGAACCTCTGGCAGAAAATTAGGCTCACAGCATTAAAGATGAGACCCATAGGCTACATAACATCATGGCAGGTGTGTGTGTTGGAGTAGGTTGGAGACCCCTGTGCTATTTCTTAAGAAAATGTAACATCTTTCACTGAAGTAAAACTGTAGTAATCATGTTTGTGTGTGTGTGTGTGTGTTGATTACTATTGGCAAAACCACGATACAATAACCATTGTTTTAATATAATATAATTTTTTTTATATATATATACTGTAAAACCATGGTTAATTTTTGTGATTACGAATGTGTGTCAGCTTTAAAATGCATGCAGTACGAGTCACACCTCGTGGCATAAATATATGCATCTAAAAACTCGACTAATTTATACGTCTAACGAATATAAATGGTATAAATGGTAAATTACAAAAGAGTGTGTGATTACCACAAAATTTCTAGCCCATATTTGACTATTTATGCTAATTATATACAAAATTTTGACACAACGGATCAGCGAATTTTTATTGATGGCGCTTCAACATGGCAACGTTCATAATTTTTTAACGTGTGCATATTGTTTAATCATGGATGTCCTCACGTTGAATAACATACGTTGCAGGCAACTATAAAGTAGCTAGTATATTATGTATGAAACAAAAAATGTAAGATCAAACTTCAGACCATCTTTACAAAGAGAACTGATAAAATAGTTTTAAAAATTGT